CTCCAATGTAGAATTCTAGGCGGTTATTACATGTGAATAGTGAAGTCAGTTGGGGTAGATTTTGTCCGTAAGGTTTCTAGAACTATTGGGACACCTACCGGTCATTACTGAGTATATCCACTGGACGTATTTAGAAACCTTAGTGTAAACACCGGGCCTGCCAGCTCGACCACAACCATCACCGTTACTAGTCACGCCAACCAATGTCCACCGTCCGTTTTCCTCGCACATTAGGGGTCCTCCAGAATCACCCTACATAAAGACAGACCACATGATATTTTAAAAAACATTTATTACTCAGAAGTATCACAAAGTTGGAATACAAATAACGAGAAAAAGGAGAAACACGTGGAAACATTTTTATTAATATGGTGTCACAATCTCCAGAAACATTCGATAGATGTCACCCTTGGAATTAAATTCTAAAATACTTGAATTTTACAATTTCTGTATTATCAATTCTTTCATGATGGATTTAAGCAAAGTATTCAAGTTTAGACTGCACACAAATTTTGTCTATTGTTAACATTTAATATTACATAATTTTTGCAGTATTTTTAGTTTCTTCAATAACTATTCTCGTCTCGTGGTTAGGGTGTTCAATTCGCAATCTGCGGGTTGCGGGATCGAAACCCATCGCCGTAAAGCTCGCATTTTTAACTGTGGGGGCGTTATAATGTGACGGCAAATCCCACTATTCGTTGGTAAATGAGTAGCCCAAGAGTTGGCGGTGCCTTCCCTCTACTCTGGCACTGCTAAATTAGGGACGGCTCGTGTAGCTTTGCGCGAAATTTAAATCAAACAAGTAAAGAAATCGATTGGAGTTGATGCTGTAAAGCAGCTGTCACACTTTCCAAGTGCAAGAGAGTTTGGTTGCTAAGGTGCAATGCCACATTGGGCTATCTTCTGTGTCCACCGCGGGGAATTGAATCCCGGATCTTAGCGTCTCACTGGACAGAATACCTACCAGGCACGCATCCCTTCCGCCATTTTCATATCCGGCACAGAACATGTTATCAGTGATTCTGTACAACGGTAGAAACAGCGTCCTCTTGCGGCAGTCTTCAGTGGGGATAATAGGCAATTGGAGCTCCTGAAGTGTGTCCGCTGGTAGTAACAAAAAATAAAATAATAATTAATCACTTGAAAAATAGAATGAAAAGAACCTCAAACACGTTAATAATCACTATACACTTCAGAAACACACATGACAATTAAATGAAATATGTAAATAAAACCTGGAAGTGCAACAAATTATGTTTACACGTGTCATAAAATAAACAAACTCATTTTCATCTAAATGACTAAGTTATTTTACAACTGAAGATACCAATTTTTACTGATTTTGAAGCGTAGCTATTATTGCGTTATTTTTTAACTAAAAGTTTTTGAGGAAAACACCTGCTGATTGTACAGCTTGTAGTAATCATCATTTGACCCTTGTTATGGTTACAATAAAAAGGAGTTCTTTCAATTAATTATCGAAAACACTGTAGACTTACAATGGATTTAGTGAAGCAACATTTACATGATACTAGGAAATCAGGAACGATAAGAATTAGGTAAGCCATAAAACAGGAAACTCGATAATCGAGTGAATTGTGTATAAACGAACACGAATGTAATTAGACTTTGATATTTCAGCCTGAACAGCATCATATACGACAAATTGACGAAACGGCTATGTCAGAGAGCAAAATAGTCTCTCATTTAGAAATGTTGACCAGAGGGAGGACAACTAGCAAGCAGCACCCACCGCCTATAGGGCTACTCTTAATCGAATACCGGGATTGCCTGTCACTTTTATAAAGTGCCCAGAACTGAAAGTGAGGAGCGTTTTAAGAAGTATATCGGGACCCGAACCCTAGGCCTTACTTTCTGCAGCCCGGCACGCTAAACACTCTATTAACTCTGGTGAATTGCAGTTACAACTGCTAAGTAAAACAACCCGGAAAGTAACATGATACAAACATTGGAACATATTAAGTAGTGTTGCCTTTCTTAAGGAATAAGCTTGTCTCATAATGCAAAGAACAGTGTCTTTAAAAGCGAAAATGCAAAAGTCTCTTACGAAATATTTGTCCAATCTCAAAGAGTTTACCCCAGCCAGTAACAGTGCACGTTTGTCCTTGCCACTTCCTGACGTCACCTCCAGCTTCTGGCAGACAAATTGGCCTGGTATAGTCACTGTAAAACGAAATTAAGTAAATAAACAAATGAAATATAAAATATATCTTATAAAACGACAAATAAAAACATATTTAGAATATTATTGTTATTGCTTTTTAAGTTTGAACATGTGAAAAACTGCTGAAAGTCAAAACATTGGTTTGTAGTTGATGCTAAACAGCCTCAAGCCTGGAAACATTATAAATTACTCACCTGAAATGGACTGGTTTTTCCAGTCTCAGTACTACTAAATCATTTATAAATCCTCTATCGATATAATCAGGATGTATAATGATGCGACTAATGTTTCGAATCTGTTCAAATGGAGATGGCATTTCTAATCCCCTTCTTAATAGTCCTATTCGAGCAATCCAATATCCAGTTTGGCTTCTGTGAAAATCCAAATATTAAAGACGATATATTCTTCACATTGTTACTTACCACCAAGTAACCTAACTTTGAATTGTGAAGTACACCGAAACTGAGTTGTTTCTTTCTAAATAGTGGATTTACCCTTTATAAACAATTAAAATGTTAAAATTGTAACTTTATCAATTATAATTAGATCAAATTTGAGATATGTACCAATCTTCTCTTGTACAAGACTCACATAGTAATTTGTATAAAACCAAAGACATTTTTATGATAAGTTATGTTGGAGTAAACATGTTTAACCATTTTGTAAACACTGGTAAATTTCAACAAATAAAGTATATGACTAACAAACTTATATCTAAAATACCACTTATCCCTTATGACTCTCTCTTCACGTATAGAGATTAAGAAATATTAAATATTAAACCTTATATCCAAAAGCAAGAGTTGGCAACAACAAGTTATCTGTTCGATGAAAGAACGTGCCATCCGTTATAATTTACTATAATGGTAGCTGGAATATGATAGTCAGAACTGGTAAGAAAATCATTTCAATGTTCCAACTTTTCACTTTTATAGTTTGTCCCTAAAGTTAACTGAAATGGCGTGTCTTCAAACTTTGTGACATGTTTTGAAAATAACCAACACGAATTGAAAGGAGAATTTATTCTGAATAAACAACGTGATTTAAATTTAGCGTGATGTCTAAATACACCACATGAATTGGAAAGAGCATATCTTCTAAATACACTACATGAATTGGAAAGAGCATGTCTTCTAAATACACCACATGAATTGGAAAGAGCATGTCTTCTAAATACACCACATGAATTGGAAAGAGCATGTCTTCTAAATACACCACATGAATTGAAAAG